GACTAGTGGGGCGCCTGGCTGGCTCAGTTGGGAGAGCGTGCAACTCTTGATCTCAGGGTCTTGAGTTCAAGCCCCCATGTTGGGCATGGAGCCTATTTAAAAAAAAAGAGTGGGGTTCATACTAATTATAGACTCCTGAAACTGAACTAAATAATAATCACTGTTCTTAGATCAACTATTCTGCCACCATCTTGATTCGGTGAAAATTAGTGGGCAAAAGTTAGAACCCTAGAAAGAACAGTCCATGCCCTCTGACAGCAACAAAACAGAATCACGTTAGATAGAAGACCACCTTAAGATCCCCACTAACAGGAAAAAAAAAAAAGAAGAAAAAAAAAAAAAAAACAAACAGAGCCCCACTAACAGGGTAAGTGCCAGTAACCTAGAGCAGGAATAGCTATCAATACTTCCCTCCTTCCAGAGAAAAGGCAGCATGGTATAAATGAGGAATCAGAAGACTTGGGTTCCAGTTTCAAGTCTGCCATTAATCAGCAATGTGTTGACTTCCCCTCTCTGAGCCTAGGTTTCTCTTTCAGTTAAATGGGAGGGTTGGACTGAATGATCTCTGATCCTTTCCTCTCTAAAAATGTTACCATCAGGGGCGCCTGGGTGGCTCAGTCTTTAAGCGCCTGCCTTTGGCTCAGGTCATGATCCCAGGCTCCTGGGACGGAGCCCCTCATCAAGCTTCCTGCTCAGTGGGAAGCCTGCTTCTCCCTCTCCCACTCCCCCTGCTTGTGTTCCATTAAAATAAAAATGTTACCATTCTATCCATCCTTTCAAGGCCTCAAAAATATTTTGGTTGCCACTAAAAAAATAAAGACTGCTCAAAATGTCATTCATTTTTATAACATGTTCTCACTGCCAGCCTTTAGTATGTGTATGTATAATTCACACAAACTAGGAGGAGCATTCATCTCATATATAATTTACCCAGTAAACATTTAATTTAAAAATCTATGGGTCTGAGGGCAGCTGGGTCGTTAAACATCTGACTTTGGCTTAGGTCACCATCTCAGGGTCCTGGGATCTAGTCTCTATGTGGGACTCCCTGCTCAGCGGGGAAGTCTGCTTCGCCTCTCCCTCTGCTCCTCTCCCTTCTTGCACATGTACGCTCGCTCTCTCTCAAACAAAATCTTTTTAAAAATTTTTAAAATAAAAATAAAATCTATTGATCGTAAAATAACAAAAAATAAAGTCTATGGGTCCTGAATCATGTACTAAATAGTAACAGATTTGTTAAACTGAAAACTAAAAAAGGGTGCCTGAGTGGCTCAGTCCGTCAAATGTCTGCGTTCAGCTCAGGTCATGATCCCAGGGTCCTGGGATGGAGCCCCGCATCCGGCTCCCTGCTCAGCGGAGAGCCTAATTCTCTGGCTCCCGCTCCCACTGCTTGTGCGTTCTCTCTCAAATAAAATATTTTTTCAAAAACTTTAAGAAAATAGGGGCACGCCTGGGTGGCTCAGTCATTAAGCATCGGCCTTCAGCTCAGGTCATGATCCCAGGGTCCTGGGTTTGAGTCCCACTCAGCAGGAAGCCTGCTTCTCCCCCCTCGCACTCCCCCTGCTTGTGTTCCCTCTCTCCCTGTCTCTCTCTCTGTCAAATAAACAAAATATTTTTAAAAAATGGAAAGATTTCCCAAGAACAAAAGCTTATCAGTAAAAGCACACTATTAAACCTCAACACGATGAGAGACTTTTAGAATTAAGAAGAGTTCTCAGTGTAATCTCAATTTAAAGATGAAGAAATGAAATGACTCAGAGTCCAGGGCTTTTTTCTACTATACCACACTTCCTCCTCCCTTTCCTGCTTTATCAAAAGACAGCATAGTAGCAAAAAGAATGCTAGACTGAAACTGACCTGAATTCTGGATCTAATTGCCATTAATTTGCTGTGGCACCTTGGACAAGTCCCTAGGCTTCGATTTTCACAATTTATATAAAGAAATTATCAGTTCAATTCAGCAAACTGGTCCTAAAGCATTTTACTCCGGAATCTCTACACACAAATGCATACAGAGTGTGAGACAGCTATAATGTACTGGAAAAAAAAAAAAAAAAAAGTACCGGACGAGGAGTCTGAAGAACTGGCTTCAAATCCCAGTTCTGTCACTTACAAGCTATGTCTCTGAGGCCAATTCATAAACCTCTCTGAGCCAAAGGCTCCTCATAGGTAAAAATGGAGAAAACAAGGAAATCTGACCTAAAATATAAATCAAAATAAAGTATTATAAATGTGGTACAAGGGGCGCCTGGGTGGCTCAGCCATTTAAGCCTCTGCCTTCAGGTGAGGTCATGATCCCAGGGTCCTGGAATCGAGTCTCCCTTCAGGCTCCCTGCTCAGTGGGAAGCCTGCTTCTCTCTTTCTCCCCGGACAACTCCCCCCCCCACCGCCCCGCTTGTGCTCTCTCTCTCAAATAAATAATAAAAATCTTTTTAAAAATTAAAAAAAAAATTAACATGGTAATATTGCAAAGCTGGGTGACTGGAGATCTGCCACTGTGGAAAAGTAGGCTGTACTGCAATCAAGTCTTTCTATTAAAAAACTGGGCTGATTTTGAACTTTCAAAGAGTAGAACAACAAAGCTGAAGACACCAATGGGGGGAACAGAAGAAATAAATAAATTTCAGGAAACACAAAGGATTGTGTATTTGGATTCTGATTAACAAAACATATGAGAACTCTCATTTGCCCATCCGTTTACTACAATTTGATGAAATGGTCTGTGTACTGTGGCACACCCAACAGCAAGGATCATTTACTAAAGTTTGCAAACTCAGTCTGTTAACCTCTCATAGTTTGTATGGTGTGCCACTCCAATTCATTATCAAGGGACAGAAGATACTTCTGATGACCAGATTATCTAGTGATAACCACCTGTTTCCACAAATCAAGATTTCTCACTGCCTTTCTCTTCACGGTACCTTATGGTACCTTATGCAAAAGACAAAAGCAGTCACAAAAGACAGAGGAAATGTTAATGATGCTAACATTTTCAGTCCTCCCGGTACTGCTAGTTCTTTTCAGATGCAATTCTCCAGATGAATCTAATTCTCTTCCAACCCCTTCCCCCAACTAGTACAGATTGAAGCCATGAAATTCACAGACTGACACTAAAGCTTTACCCATAGAGCTCAACACCATTAGTATTTGGTGAGGTTGGAGAGGTCAGAGTTAAAATAAGAAGGCTGGGTCCCATGGGAGAGACGTTTTTACTTTTCACCTAATATCAAAGGATCAAAGTGCTTGAGAAGCTCTATTATCCCAAGAAGCAAGAAGTGATTCTATCAATTCTATCAAAATGACTCATTGGGTTTAAATAAGTTAAACAGCTCCAAGTTCTGCATACTTCCTCCCAAAGTAACCACTGTGTGAAGTTAAATTTTTTAATTCCAAGAAAGAAGGAAGGGAATGGACATTTGGGTTCTTTCTCTGTGCCAGGTTCTAGGCTAGACAATATACACTCCTCTCCTGATATAACTATTTTTCAAAATTAAATGTTTCATTCATTGAAAAGGAACAATATTCACATATTTCTAAACTGATTAAGATCATATAGTTATTTCCTTCCCCCACTCCACATACACACACTCAAAAGCATTAAAGCATTAGGTCTGTCATTTAACCTAAATCGACAGTTCAACAGTTCATTACTTTGAGGGGAAACAAAATTTAATTTCAAGGGAATCCAATCTATTTGGAAATTCAAAAGTATTTTCAATCCTCTACGATCCAGCTATGAACTCGTTTCAGATACTGAACTTGGAGACTCAGTACCATCTCAAGACTGGTCACTGCCACCCAAAAATCTCATAATAGTGATAGGAGGTTGGTGGAAACACATCTGCGACCCACGAATGTACATTTCTTTCTGATTTTGCTGTCCCAACTTTTTTGGTGGATGTTATATATAAAATATATTGGGCTTTAGAATGACTTCTGGAAAGTACAGATGAATTTTATTTGCATCAAACACGGTATTTCTTCCAAGGGGTTAAGTGTGGGAATTGAAGGCAGTGGAACTCCTGTAACTGTATTACTGTCTACTTACATTAACATACAAGTTTTACCAATTCTTAAGTTCTTACAGCGTGAAAATATATTTCACTGCCTCTACTTCCACACAAGTCGGTAGAAGAGTTCGGCAAATAGCTTTAAATCCTGTTTCAACTTTGAAAAGTGGAGGAGCGGGTAAGTAGAAGTCCCAGTCAAGCGAAGCATTCCAAGTACTGCGCTTCCTTACGCAGAATCTCTCATTCGAATCATCACTAAAACATCTTGCAGAATTAGATAAATAACACAAAGCTGTGGCTCTCCTTCCAACCACCAGATTACTCAGCACTTGTTTGTATCTCTGTAGTTGGTTATGTACAACTGAGTCCAGCTACTCTTTTAAGACGGCATTCTCCCTTAATGGTAAGGACCTTGGCTTTGATTTCCTTTGCCTCACCGTAAGGTGCTATTTTAATTAAACACTGTTGATCTACAGGACATCAGCTAGAGGACTTTCCCAAGTAAAATACCCAACCATTCCCCCGCTCCTTTTCTTTCGGTGCAACGAAGAGGACGGCAGATAGTTACAGCTACCTCTGAAACGAACAGGTAAGTTAGCGGCAAAAGAAAAAAACCCATGGGAAATGCAATTTGTCCTGTTACTGCTCCTTTAATCTGTGGTCCCCAGGGCCAAAACGGATGTTTCGAAGGTAAAGCGCAGAAACCCCACAAATACAAATCGCCAGCTCTCGGGCACGTAAGCTGTCCCACCTCGAAGACCAGACGGGAGAGGGGGATCCTTAGCCCCAGGGGCCGCTCACCAGAGAAAGGAGGGGGTCTGGCCGAGGTGGGCTATTCCCCCTCCCCCGACTCCCTCTGAAGTGCCCGAGGGAGACACAGGAGCAGCGGTGGCGGACACAGCGGGACCTGGGAGGGGTGCCGGAGGAAGGCACCGGGGAAGCCCGGGGACTGGAGCGCGCGGCTTCTGGGCCATAGCTCCAGTTACTTACCCCACAGGGTAGCCGCCCCCCAGGTGCACATCTTCAGAGGCATCAAAGAATTCCTCGGTGTCGCTTTCCGACGCCATTTATAGGACACACCCGCGGGTGAGGGGGCCGGCGCCGCCTGGAGGGAGGGTGACTTTCGTCTCCTCCTCGTCGTCCTCCGCTCCGGCGAGACCGTGGGGTGGTGGGTCCTGGGCGAGGACAGGGACCGGGGAGACGATCTAGAGTGAGGAGCCGACGAGGGGCAGGGGCCGTCGTCAGCTGCCGGGCTGCGGGAATGATCGGCCGAGCGGCAGCCTGAGAAGGCGGCGGTAGGTCCACGGACTGTTGCAGTCGCCGCTCCCGGCGATAGGTGTGCAGGGAGAGCGAGAGAAGAGGCGGTGGCTCTCTGTGGGGGAGGGCGGGCGCGCCGACGACAGCAGCTCCAATTTCTCCCGCAGCAGCAATTACAGCAGCTGAGAGAGTCAGTTGCCCGCAAAATACGGACGCGCACCTAACCTCGCGAGATTTCGGGAGGGGCCGGTTAAAGCGTGGGCGGGGCGACGAGGAGGCGGGGGCGGTTCCAGAGCGGCAGCGCTCAGATTTCTTCTACCCGGGAGGCCTATCAAAACGGCGCAAGCGCGTTGAGGGCGTTCGGTGAAGGCCGGAAGTAGCCGAGGAGGGTGGAGTCTAAACCTGCGCAGGAACAGCGTGGTACCTTAGAGCTGAGCGAGCGAGCCCGACGTAGGTGGGGTCCGGCAGATGATCTTACACTGTAACTTTGCAGTTCCAAAGAGAGGCATCTTCAGAGGGGTGGTTTTGAGTTTGCTTTTTTCCCTTGAGAGGAAATGCTGTCGGGAAGCATTGGCATTGTGGTTTACATTTATTTACGTCGTCTTAATTTATTCAAGCCCAGAATATCGCACCCTAGGGCATAGGCAGGTACACCTTCTCTAGGGTTACGGGAATAACTCTCCCTATTTACTACAGAATCTCTAGTTGAGACCCCCTAGATAATATTCTACGGGCCAGAGGGTGGGGTCCAAGAGAGATACGTGGGGAGTGTGCCAATTCCATGAAGTAATGATGGATTTATTGCTGGATCAGAGCCAGCATAGGGCCTCCAGTTACTCTCTTCTACAAATATTTGTTGCTGCCCATGCTTAATGGGAGAGAAATTCTTAGACTGGCCAAGAGGTGGATCAGTCAATGGTAAATATATATTGAACAGATACCGTTGCAAAGCTAAGAGCTAGTAACTTTATTCTGACCCTTGATTGCCCAATGTCCAGTGATGAAAATAGAAAAATAGTTTTTGAAAGACCAAGATGTTCTTTCTTACCGGATCATTAACCACCAAAGTGGTAACATTGACTTTCTATATGATCGCTGAAACACATTTGTTTACCATTGACGTCATGACAGGAAGGCTCTCAGGACTGTTTGCTCAGACTCAACTACTGCTCAAGATGGCAGCAGGAAAGACTGAATTGGGTATGGGCATTTGGCTTTAGAGGCTAAAATGAAGTTCTAAATTTCTCCTTGTAAAGCAACCAGGGAAAGACCTGGCGTTGTCTGGTGTACTGGCGTAAAACCAAATGCCATATACTGTAACTTCTGTAACATCCCAGGAAATTCAGGGGAAACACTGCATGTTCAAATATGGTAATTTTTTTTCAGCAAACCATATAATAATTCATATGGAGTAAATGAATAGCAGTGAATAACCTCATTCGGTTCAGGTCAGATGGTACTGCCAAATAAGTTTAGGTAAGATTAATTAGACTGTCAAATAAGTTACTAAAACTACAAAGAAAATTCTTAGTTTCCAGAGCTTTTTGGATTTCAAAATAGCAGATTTCTGGGTCCTTGTGTCCTTTTGTCACAATCTTGTAATTATTAGCTTTTATGTGTTTTATTGCTCACTAGGAAAGATATGCTTTGTTTCCTTATGGATTATGGGAAGATAAACTACTTGAGTGTATTCTCTTCCTAGTCTTCTAGTAGTGAATTTATGTTTGCCTTAAAAATTAAGTTTGGTGTTGGGATGCCTGACTGGTTCAGTTGGTAGAGCATGTGGCTTTTGATCTTAGGGTCCTGAGTTTGAGCCCCATGTTGGGCATAGAGATCATTTAAAAAAATATGAGTAAGATATTTTAGTTCCTGTCTTCCAGGAACTCACAATCTAGCAACAGATCCAAATATGGATTCCTAATTTGGTGCCTTTTTTTTCAGTATACCATATCACCTTTCTTGGATCTTTCTTTTCCTCTTGGACCTTTTCAGTTACCATAAACATTATGCTTAGAAAAAATTAAAGTGGAGAAATGATAAGCAGAAAACATATTAGAGCTATTGAAGTTGCCTGTTTAAATGCTTTTATCAGTTATGTGAGACAGTGAGTTTCTGGTAAAATCAAAACACATGTGTACTACGTGTCATAATTTTTTTAAAAAAGATTTATTTATTTAGAGAAAGAGAGCACAAGTTGGGGGAGAGGCAGGGGCTTGACCAGTGACTTGTTCCCGTAACCCTGAAATCATGACCTGAACCCAAACCAACAGTTGGATGCTCAACCCACTGAGCCACCCAGGTGCCCCTCATAACTGTTTTTAAGATTTGACTTTTAAGTAATCTGTACACCCAACATGGGGCTTGAACTCACAGCCCTGAGATCAACAGTCGCACACTCCCACCAACGGAGCCAGCCAGCCACCTCCCCCCACCCCGTGTCATCATTTTTAAAGATGTTTTGCCTGAATCATCTAAAGTTTTAAAGCAGCAGGTTTTAGGTTTAGTCCAAGGGAGTAGTTTTAAAGCTTTTCTCCTTATTAGAAATGAAACTTTTTAATTAAACCTAAAGTCTACTTATCATAGAAAGAAAAACTGCTCCAGTTGAAGCAGGAATAGTTCAGGTCCCTGAGGGTCCAGAGACTGCCCCAGGGCACCATTAAAAAAAATCAGAGGCTACTGATCCAAAGCAGGGGTTGGCAAATGATGGTAAACTGGACAAATCTGTCCCACTGTCTTTGTGAAAACAGCAATTCCCCCTTATCTGTGGTTTCGCTTTTCTGCAGTTTCAGTTGCCCAAGATCAACTGTGGTTCAGAAGCAGATGCTCTTCCTTCTGACGTGTCATCTAACAGTACATCAGAACACCTCCATCGTTTACCTCCCTTTATCTCATCACATAGACATTTTATCATTTCATATCGCCACGAGAAGGGTGAGTACAATGCCATACGATATTTTGAGATAGCCTGCATTCACATAACTTTTCTTACACTATCTTGTTATCATTATTCTACTGTATCATTAGTTATTGTTGTTAATCTTCTGCTGGGCCTAATTTATAAATTAAACTTTATCGTAGGTATGTGTGTATAGGAAAAAACAGAGTATATATAGGGTTTGGTTCTATATGTAGTTTCAGGTACTGCAGGGTTCAGTTTCTCAGGGGGTCCTCAGACATATTCCCCATGGATAAAGCAGGACTACTGTAAAGTTTTATTGGAACACAGCCAGGCCTAGTTTTCTACATATTGTATGTCTGCTTTTAGGGCAGAATTGAGTAATTGGGACAGAGACTGCATGGCCCACAAAGACTAAAATATTTACTACCAGGCTCTTTACACAAAATTTTGCCCACCTTTGGTCCATAGGATGCTACTGTCTAGGGTACCCCAGAACTGAAAGTACATGCATATTAAATGGTTATTTGAATTCGTTTCACAACAGAATTGTACAATGCCACAAAATCATATATACAAATAAGAATGAGGATTAAACTCCCCCCCCCCCCGGCTCATTCCTAGTAGCTTTAAAAACTACCCAGGTCTAGGGGCGCATAGGTGGCTCCCATTGGTTAGGCGACTGCCTTTGGCTCAGGTCGTAATCCTGGAGTCCTAGGATCAAGTTCCCTGTCAGGCTTCCCTCAGCAGGGAGTCTGCTTCTCCCTCTGACCCTCCACTTCTCATGCTCTCTCTCTCTCTCTCTTTCTCATTCTCTCTCTCTCTCTCTCTCTTTCTCATTCTCTCTCTCTCAAATAAATAAAATCTTTAAAAAAATAAAAAATAAAATAAAATAAAAACTACCCAGTCTAAGGCTAAAGTGGGTTTAAGGAAGATTTTTCTGTCTCATCTGCACAGCATAAACTCTACTTAGGAGTTAAAAAGCAAGAAGTCACAGTCAGTGTATGGAAGAGTTTGTCTGTGGGATGCTCTCTCTCTTCACTTGGCAAGAATAATACAAACCAGAAGTATACTTGGGGCCAACTTTGCTCTAACCTCAAGGGTAATCACTGGGAAGATCAGTGACAAGACTGTCACGGGGGTAGGCTTTTGTTACAAACAAGAGTTAAAGTGATAACGCAGGGAGAAACTTTATACACAGGGTCAGGATTTGAGATACAATATTGACATGACCTGATTTAATATTGCAATCTCTGTGAGAGTTTTTATGGATTTTGGAGTATCAGAGTCCGTAAAAGAAAATAATTCTGAAACTGGCCAAAATTTCTCAGGACCAAGCTAAAATTCTGTAATCATCAACTGCCAGTTATATTGGAAAGATCAGCTATGTTCCAGATTATGATGGTAAATATTCAAAAAAAATCATTTCTATTTGGCTTTGGAATCTTTATACCTTTTTTAGGTCTGTACCACCTTCTTAATGATGTTTTCTTGATATTAATATTAAAGTGAATTTTCAATATCTGCGCACACAAGAACTGAAAGTAGAGAAAGAGAGTCTAGAAATGTGTTAAGAGAGGCAGGAGGGGCGCCTGGGTGGCTCAGTGGGTTAAGCCACTGCTTTCGCCTCGGGTCATGATCTCAGGGTCCTGGGATCGAGTCCCACATCGGGCTCTCTGCTCAGCAGGGGAGGCCCGTTTCCCCCTCTCTCTCTCTGCCTGCCTCTCTGCCTACTTGTGATCTCTCTCTGTCAAATAAATAAATAAAATATTTTTAAAAAAAGAGAGGCAGGAAAAAGAAAGAGAGATGCAGGAAAGTCAGCTTGGGATTTAAATTGTCTTACTGTTATGTAGTGGAATACTAAGTAGCCCTGTATTCTGTTCAGGACTCTGGAATCAAACTAACTGGGATTATCGTAAACAAAACAAAACAACAAAAAAAAAGGATTTTATTCATTTGCGTAATCAAACATAGACGGTGATAACACTTGTCTGTTCCTTAGTGATTCATATATTAGAGAAGAATTTGAGCATAAAGCAAATTTTGCATTTCCTTAAGTGTGATTTTTGTCAGCACTAGGTAAAAGCAGAAAAGTATACCCAGCTCAATCAAGTCCCATAGGCGTGCACAAAATACACACCCATCTACCTCAGACAACCACCAGCTACCTCAGATCATTGTGTGTGTTTTGAGTCACCACCCATCCATATCTAAGCACTAGAACTTTCCTTCTGAGTCTGATTTCAGAGAACCCTCCTTCTACCCATTCACAATAACTCACAAGCTACAGACCCTCTGATACCTATTTCCACAAGCAAACTTCGG